TGCTTTTACAGCTGATCAGTGAAGTGAAACCAAATCTCCCTGTGGGAGGAGGGCAGAGTGTCCTGCTCATGTGGAGCCCAGAGGGATGCAGGAGATGTAGCCACCTCAGGCTGGCTTGGAGACCCAGGGCAAGTCTACAATGCTGCGTGAGTTGAGTCAAGGTATGTCCCTCTGGGATGTCCTCCCTCCCCCAAGCACCACAGGTTAGAGCTGCCCAATCAGATCGGTGCTGGCACTGGCGGCAGGAGATGCTCTTCTGCCACTTGGGGAGGTGGAGTGGTCCTGCCACCATCAGAGCGTTCTCCTTGGAGTACACTGTGTCCCACCAGACACACCACTGCAGCCTGATTGGCTGACCAGCTAGCTTTGCAAGGTGGATCTGCAGGAGTCTCTTGCTAAGAGGGCAGCTCAGGAAGGCTCCTCATGCTCCCAGTGCAGGGAGTGCTACAGCTCTGGGCACTCCTTTCCCCCAGCCCTGGGAAAGCTGCAATCAGGCTCCTTCACCCTTTAGTTAGAGCTGACTCCACTTGACTTTCTAAAAATAGCTGAGGGTCCCACCCATGCAACCCCGCTCTTTTAATTTCTCAAATTACCCTTTGGTGCCCACAAATGTAGCAACCTTGCCTTGTAATTTGTGTTCTCTGCTGACAATTGAGTATCTCTTTCTGTTCCCAAGGGGCCCCGTACGTGGGGGAAGGGAAAATGGCTGGGACAAGAGGCATGGGAGGCCATGTGCAGGGTGTGCTGGTGGGTGGTTGGGGATATGAGAATCTGTGTGAGAGAGAGGAGGGCCAAGATGTTTGTGCAACTAGGAATATCTCAAATCGTGGAGTCTTGGACCATGTCAGGCAGGCAGCTGGCTGAACATTACTCAGAAAAGCTCATTCTCCCACTGGCCTGTCTCTTGACTCTGGTGCTTGCAGCACTTTCTCCTCTGTCTCATACAGATTCTCATCTGCCTGGGACTGGATTCTCAAAGATTAGAATTGTTCCAGGACTGACTCATCTGACTGGCTGGTGGAAATTGAGACTGCACATCACATCTCTGAACCCTGGGGCAGTAGAAATCCACATGCTGGCAGTGCCTTTGTTCGGGCACGGGGAGAAGTCAGCACTGAAATGATCAGGGATGTTGGTTCCACTTCAGAAGTGGTGAAAGGTGCTTCCTGCCTGCCTCCCTAGAAGGTAGCAATGCACATGTATGATCATTTGTAATGCCTAGCAGCCCGACACAGACCCCAGAGTGTGAGGGAAAGCCCGGACTCCAGACTGCTTACAATCCAAGAGACAGTAGACAGATCTTGTTGGGAACACAAGGGTATGGTGAGACACTGGGGACAATTTTGCTAGGTAATGGTCTCATCAGACCAGTGGTGTAACAATTGTAAAGTTTGTCGCAGATTGAAGCATCATTAGAGGAGGTTTTGGAATTAATTGATAAACTTAACAGTAACAAGTTACCAGGACCAGATGGCATTCACCCAAGAGTTCTGAAAGAACTCAAATGTGAAATTGCAGAACTATTAACTATGGTTTGTAACCTATTCTTTAAATCAGCTTCTGTTCCCAATGACTGGAAGATAGTTAATGTAATGCCAATATTTAAAAAGGGCTCTAGAGGCGATCCCGGCAATTACAGACCAGTAAGTCTAATGTCAGTACCGGGAAAAGTGGTTGAAACAATGGTAAAGAATAAAATTGTCAGACACATAGAAGAACATAATTTGTTAGGCAAAAGTCAACATGGTTTCTGTAAAGGGAAATCATGTCTTACTAATCTATTAAAGTTCTTTGGAGGGGTCAAGAAACGTGGACAAGAGGGAGCCAGTAGATATTGTATACTTAGATTTCCAGAAAGCCTTTGACAAGGTCCCTCACCAAAGGCTCTTACGTAAATTAAGTTGTCATGGGATAAGAGGAAAGATCCTTTCATGGACTGAGAACTGGTTAAAAGACAGGAAACAAAGGGTAGGAATAAATGGTAAATTTTCAGAATGGAGAGGGGTAACCAGTGGTGTCCCCCAAGGGTCAGTCCTAGGACCAATCCTATTCAACTTATTCATAAATGATGTGGAGGAAGGGATAAACAGTGAGGTGGCAAAGTTTGCAGACGACACTAAACTGCTCAGGGTAGTTAAGACCAAAGTAGACTGTGAAGAACTTCAGAAAGATCTCACCAAACTAAGTGACTGGGCAACAAAATGGCAAATGAAATTTAATGTGGATAAATGTAAAGTGTAATGCACATTGGAAAAAATAACCCCAACTATACATATAATATGATGGGGGCTAATTTAGCTACAGCTAATCAGGAAAGAGATCTTGGAGTCGTTGATAGTTCTCTGAAGACGTCCACGCAGTGTGCAGCGGCCATCAAAAAAGCAAACAGGATGTTAGGAATCGTTAAAAAAGGGATAGATAATAAGATGGAGAATATCGTATTGCCCTTATATAAATCCATGGTGCTCCCACATCTTGAATACTGTGTAAAAATGTGGTCTCATCTCAAAAAAGATATACTGGCATTAGAAAAGGTTCAGAGAGGAGCAACTGATGAGGGGTTTGGAACGGGTCCCATATGAGGAGAGATTAAAGAGACTGGGACTTTTCAGCTTGGAAAAGAGGAGACGAAGGGGGGATATGAGAGAGATCTATAAAATCATGAGTGGTGTGGAGAAAGTGAATAAGGAAAAGCTATTTACTTGTTCCCATAATATAAGAACTAGGGGCCACGAAATGAAACTAATGGGCAGCAGGTTTAAAACAAATAAAAGGAAGTTCTTCTTCACACAGCGCATAGTCAATCTGTGGAACTCCTTGCCTGAGGAGGTTGTGAAGGCTAGGACTATAACCGGGTTTAAAAGAGAACTAGATACATTCATGGAGGTTAAGTCCATAAATGGCATCCCTAGCCTCTGTGTGTCAGAGGATGGAGATGGATGGCAGGAGAGAGATCACTTGATCATTACCTGTTCGATTCACCCCCTCTGGGACACCTGGCACTGGCCACTGTTGGCAGACAGGGTACTGGGATGGATGGACCTTTTGTCTGACCCAGTATGGCCATTCTTATGTTCTAATGTTTGGAGGCAACATGGAGATGAAGGGTTTAAGAAGGGTTACAAAGGAGGATAATCAGGTGGCTTTGCAGATGGATACAGGGAGCTCCACCCAAGCCTGAGGGGCAGTATGGTAGGAAGCAGGATATTAGACTCATAGACTTCAAGGTCAGAAGGGACCATTATGATCATCTAGTCTGACCCCCTGCACAGTGCAGGCCACAAAATCTCACCCACCCCTCCCAGAATAATCCTCTCACCTATATCTCAGATATTGAAGCCTTCAAATACTTTGAAGACCCCAAGATGCAGAGAATCTTGCTTGTTTGAAAATTTAACAAGACTGCGATGGATGTGTGAGCTATGGAAGCTGGTATTGGCTGATTGGGCAGGGGGAGTTGACGTCTCAGTAGAGAATGAGAAGTGGATAGCTAGGGTGAGGAAGTGAAAGTGAGGAAAAGCAGTTTGCTGCGGTTCAGAAGAGAAGCCAATGGAGGGATGCAAAGAGATGGATGACCTGGTGAAAGTTATGGGCTAAGAAAGTGCAGAAGCACTCTGAATGGATGAGACCAGGGCAAGACAGCTCTTGTCATGGCCAAGAAAAAAGGGATCTCGCCGTAATCAAGATGAAACGAGAGCTTGGACAAGAGTTTTTTAGCTGTGTGGATGGAAACTCTATATCCTAGAGATTTTATATAGAAAATACCTGCAAGGTTGATGTGTAGTCAGGAAGTGAGGATCAAGACAAGTGTCCTGGACAAAGAAGAAGCTTAAGTTACAGGCCTGATTGGTAGGAAGGATGGTGGTGGTATCCAGAGAGGGAGTGGGGAAGGTCTTGGCAGGATTAAGAACTCTTATTTTAGCCTATTGATCCTGAGCCAATGGTACCCTCTGAGTTTGATTTGGCGAGTCTTTAGACTTGTTAAATTGAACTCTGGAAAATTGATTGCTGCAGCAGTGATCTTCCGTGTAGTATAGACATGGCCTTAATTAACTAGTTTAGAATATATCACAAAAGGGTACGATACAGCAAGCTGCAGTTAAGAGAAATCTAGAAGTTGCCAGTTGCCACTGTCATTTTCTTATATTACATAAAACATGCCTCTTATTTTGGAACATCATGATCACAGATCATAATGGTGAGGCTGTAGGTCTATTCCCTATTTTACTTCAGCATAACTCAGCTTTCCCAAAGGAACCCTATTCTGTACTCGTTTTCAATGGGGCTTACTCCAAAATTAAGTGCACTCTAAGCACTTCTGGTAACTTGGAATCCGATCTGCATCAAAATGACAGTGGGAGTGGGGAGGATGAGTTAGCTGTAAAAGTTTTAAGGATGTAGTACATTTTGTGTTGTGAGGACTTGTATGTAACAGTTAATAACATTTTAAAATTAAGAAGGGTGTAAGGACAGCTCAGGAGACTGCTGTAATTACAAATGTGAAATATTTATGTAATGTTTAATATTTAGCTTAATGAAAGTGCTGTTGTGTTTGTGTGTGATTTAGTTCTTACCATTCCTAATGTACCGGTGTTGCATCTGCAGCTTGACACAGGTAAAGAGTATTATGCACCATTTCCTAAATTAATAAAGATCAAGTTATCTAAAAAAATTAAATAAAGTATTCCCTCTTGCATATTGTAAAATGCTATGCTGCGCTGTAAGTGAACATGTTTTAGTGATCACCATTGTTTGATGCAATATGTGAAGAAGTATGGGGGGAAACTTGATTTAAATCAATGATTTTTTTGGTGATTTAAATTGTAATATAAGGTCTTTGTATTACATTGGTGAAGAGATCCCTGTGGGCAGGTCTGTCCTAGGAGAGATGCGTCCTGTGAATGGACCTTTGCAAATGCTGAGGTCTGATTGTGCTGTGCTGAGGTTTTAGCTGGGGCATAGCATTCAAGTCTAACCTGCGCTCCATCTCTGCTCTGCAGCTTTTGGAGCGAGAGCCAGTTGTGTGCCATCCAGACCTGGAAGAGCCACTGTCTGCTGGCCCACAGGACCTTCCTGATGAGTTCTTTGAAGTTACGGTGGACGATGTACGGAAACGCTTGGCCCAGCTACAGAGTGAGAGGCAAGTTTTCATTAGCATTGATGTTCTTCCATCTCCTCCTGCTCTTGTCACTCTGAATGTACCGTCTTGGTGCTCCACAGATTGGGATGGCTTTGAGGGAAAAGGTGCTGGCTTTGCTTTGGGCTGCATGTCCCTGGGAATTCTAGCTCCCCAATCTTACGAAATACTCTCCTGCCCTTTATTAGGGGGTAGCCGTGTTAGTCTGGATCTGCAAAAGTGACAAGGAGTCCTGTGGCACCTTATAGACTAACTGAAGTGTTGGAGCATAAGCTTTCGTGGGCAAAGACCCACTTTGTCAGATGCATGTAGAGGAAATTTCCAGAGGCAGGTATAAATATGCAGGCCAGAATAAGGCTAGAGATGACGAGGTTAATTCAGTCAGGGAGGATGAGGCCCACTTCTAGCAGCTGACCTGGCGTGGAGGTGTGAACACTGAGAGGAGAAACTGCCTTTGTACTTGGCCAGCCATTCACAGTCTTTGTTTACTCCTGAGGTGATGGTGTCAGATTTGCAGATGAACTGCAGCTCAGCAGCTTCTCTCTGAAGTCTGGTCCTGAAGTTTTTTTGCTGCGGGATGGCTACCTTTAGATCTGCTACTGTGTGTCCAGGGAGATTGAAGTGCTCTCCTACAGGTTTTTGTGTATTGCCATTCCTGAGATCTGATTTGTGTCCATTGATTCTTTTGCATAGGGTCTGTCCAGTTTGGCCGATGTGTATAGCAGAGGGGCATTGCTGGCACATGATGGCCTATATTATATTGGTAGATGTGCAGGTGAATGAGCCAGTGATGGTGTGCCTGGTCTGGTTAGGTCCTGTGATGGTGTCACTGGTGTAGATATGAGGGCAGAGTTGGCACCGAGGTTTGTTTTCTCCTGTCCTTGGTGGTTTTCAGAGCTCTCAGGCTTTAATCTTGTTAATTACTTGGCCTAGCCAGGGAGTTTGGCACCTGTCCAGGACAGAACATGCCAGGTTCCAGACCTGGGGCACTTGTAATTTTCAGAAAGGAATGAGATCCAGAGCTGGGCTACTGAACAACACAATAGAATTGGTCAACAGACTGAAACCGCTAAGAGTCCAATAATGAGTAATGGAGGGTAGGGTTCCCAAAGAGTTAACCATTAAGTATGAGGCTTGCCAGTTGCTTACCGGTTAACTTGGCCCTTGCCGTTGAACTCTGACGGGGGCTAGCTGTGCTGAGCTGGAGAGGCCTGGGTACAGAGGGGGTGGAATCTCATGGCCATGGCTGCAGGCCGTAAGTTAACTATTAATTGGTGAAGTGCTATCACTTAACTGGTAACTGCTTTAACCATTTAATGGAGGGAGGGATGGAATTGGGGTTCAGAGACTAGACTGGAATTAAGGAGATTTTGATTGTTCCGTAATCTTGGTCCAGAGTCTTTGCTTTTCCCAACTAGGAAGACTGTGATCCTACAGCTGGTTGTGTGCTGGCCTTGGTATATTTTAGAATAGCCTAATGACTTCTGCATGGTATTCTACATGATAATGGCCCCTTCTCAATCCCCAACAGCCCTAAGGCCAGTTGTGTGATGCAGGTTACCAGCATGGGAGGCTGGGTTATCTTCTGGCCCCTTGGCACTGCCAGAGTAGTGATAAGGCAGGGGTGAGGAACTTTTTTAGGGTCGTGGGCCATTAACCTGCAGTGATATCAGTCAGGGGCCACACAAAAGTGAGAAGCAAAAAAAACCCCACACTCGTGCACACCCAAAAAAATCAAAATCCCCACAGAACTGATTGTGCTTGATGTGCTTTGATGTTGGTTTTTATTTTATTTCAAATTTTAGTGAGATGCTTGAGTTTGCATTTTGCAGGGAAGAGGTTGGAGGGCTTCTCTGCCCTCCTACTCCTGCAAGGGATTCCCTCCTTCCCTCAGGTCCCGCATGCCTCCTGAACTGTTAAGGACGCGTTGCTGGCAGCGTGTGGCTTCAGTCTGCCAGAGACTGGTCCCTGCTGTAGCCAGCCTATTCAGGGCAGAGGGGAGAAAGAGAAGCTGGCCCGCTGTGGTCGCCCCTTCCTCCCAAAAGGTGCCCCATGCAGGGAAGGGGTTCGGGGGCAGTTGTGACTTAGGGGATTGGATTGTGACCTAGGGCAGGGAATAAGAGTACAGGAGGGAGTGCAGGAGATTTGGGTTGTGAGCTAGGGCAGAAGGGGACTGTGATCTGGGGCAGAGGATTAGAGTGCTGGTCTGGGAGGGGGGCAGAGGATTTGGGTATGTGGAATGGGAGCAGAAGTGTGAGGCAGAGGGTTGGGGAAGGGAGGGTTGGGATGCTCTGCCAGGAGATTTACCAGCCAGCAACAGTTCCTGAATCAGCCTCCCTGCCTGCCCCACCTCTGCACAGGCTGCAGCCATGTGCTCTGGAGCTTCTTGTCTGCCTGTTATTGAAATAGGCAGCTCCCACTGGCCAGTTTCTGGCCAGAAACTGGCTAATGGGATTATGCTGGGGGCAGGAGCAGCTCCTAAAGCTTCTTCCCTCCTCTTCAGACACACAGTTTTTAAAGAAAAACTGTCCCACAACCGCATTTCTGGGTGGCGTGCGGGTGGGGCGAGGCAAGCGTATTTCCCCCAGGCCTGGCCTAGTGGTATTTCTGGTTGATATCTGAAAAGTGCCTTTGAAAACTCTCCACAGCACTTTGTTCTAGCCACATGAGTCTTTGAATCATGCCTCTTGACTTCCCCCCACTGTCTCTAAAACCAACATGCAAAAAAGGTTGTTTGAGGAGTTTAAGATAAACCGGTCAGTTTAACGTCTGTCCCAGGGAAGATAATGGAGCAGGTAATTAAGGAAATCATATGCAAACACTTGGAAGGTAATAAAGTGATAGGGAATAGCCAGCATGGGTTTGTGAAGAACAAGTCATGCCAAACTAATCTGATAGCTTTCTTTGATAGGATAACGAGCCTTGTGGATAAGGGAGAAGCGGTGGATGTCATATACCTAGACTTTAGTAAGGCATTTGATACGGTCTCGCATGATATTCTTATTGATAAACTAGGCAAATATAACTTAGATAGGGCCACGATAAGGTGGGTGCATAATTGGCTGGATAACCGTAGTCAGAGAGTTGTTGTTAACGGTTCTAAATCCTGCTGGAAAGGGATAACAAGTGGAGTTCCTCAAGGGTCTGTTTTGGGACCCGTACTGTTCAATATCTTCATCAATGATGTAGATATTGGGATAGAGAGTACTCTTATTAAGTTTGCAGATGATACCAAACTGGGTGGGGTTGCGACTTCTTTGGAGGATAGGGACATAATTCAAAATGACCTTAGCAAGTTAGAGAAATGGTCAGAGGTAAACAGGATGAGGTTTAATAAGGAGAAATGCAAAGTGCTCCACTTAGGAAGGAACAATCAGTTCCATACATACAAGATGGGAAGCGACTGTCTAGGAAGGAGCATGGCGGAAAGGGATCTAGGGGTCATAGTGGACCACAAGTTGAATATGAGTCAACAGTGTGATGCTGTTGCCAAAAAAGCAAATATGATTCTAGGTTGTATTAACAGGTGTGTTGTAAGCAAAACTCGTGAAGTCATTCTGCCGCTCTACTCTGCACTAGTTAGGCCTCAGCTGGAGTACTGTGTCCAGTTCTGGGCGCCACATTTCAAGAAAGATGTGGAGAAATTGGAAAGGGTACAGAGAAGAGTGACAAGAATGATTAAAGGTCTAGAGAAGCCTATGAAGCCAGGCTTCATGAACTGGGCTTGTTTAGTTTGGAAAAAAGAAGATTAAGGGGGGACATGATAGTGGTTTTCAAATATCTAAAAGGGTGTCACAAGGAGGAAGGTGAAAATTTGTTCCTCTTGGTTTCTGAGGACAGGACATGGAGTAATGGGCTTAAAGTGCAGCAGGGGAGGTTTAGATTGGACATTAGGAAAAAATTCCTAACTGTCAGGGTGGTCAAATATTGGAATAAATTGCCAAGGGAGGTGGTGGAATCTCCCTTTCTGGAGATATTTAAGAACAGGTTAGATAGACATCTGTCAGGGATGGTGTAGACGGAGCTTGGTCCTGCCTTGAGGGCGGGGGGCTGGACTCGATGACCTCTCGAGGTCCCTTCCAGTCCTATTATTCTATGATTCTAAGATTGCAAGAGCTCAGCATGGCTCTGTGCTCCTTGTGTCTTGCAGAACAGGAGAATTTAGTTCCCAGAAATCTCATGTTGTCGTCTTTGGAAATGCAATTACCTCTTCCTAAGCAAAGTGCAAACAGTCGTACAGACCCTCCTCGTGCTCTGTGTGAGTTAATCTGGGAAGTACTTGCTGTTGGTTGGCAGAAGCTGATCTGCTTGAGGGGACTTGTTGGACAGAGGTCAGGTGGTATACATGCATGAGTGTAGAATTGATTTCATATGATCAACTGATTTTTGTCCTGCCCCCTTATCTCCAGGCTTCAATATGTTGCATTTTTGTATTGTTATGGAATTAACTACATCATCGGTATGAGGGAGTCCTGGGAAGGGGTCACTTGTGTTCTCTGCATCTGGGGATGTGAGAGTGGCAGTTGAGAACTGTGGGACAAGCACCTTAACAGGGTGATTCTATTCTGGTGTGGAACAGTTCATAGCCCAGAGTGAAATTGCCACTCGGAGGCTTCACTGTTATTACCCCCATCATTGGGGTGAAGGGAGACGCTTTCACTGACATCTGAGTTATGGAGTCAGGCTCTGCAAAGGCTGGCCGGCTGGCCTGTGCCGGCTGGCCTGTGCCGGCTGGCCTGTGCCAGCTGGGTCGTGTTGTCAGTGTTTCCTTCACAACCATAAGGAAATGGATTTTTTTTTAAAATTAAGTTGAGGTTCTTGGGCCCTGTTTTGCGTAAATGGGGAAGAGTAGAGAATCCACAGCTTAAGAGGGAACCTGTTCAGGGACAGATATTAAAAATGTTCTGGGATCTCATGAATCTGGACGCAAAAAGGATTTCCAAGGCCATCTTACGGGCAGCTTCAGGTGTTGTCAGTGTTGCCAAGTGATGGTGGCTGTGGACAGAAAAGTGGTGCTTTATGGGGAAGGAGAGAATGTGGATGTATCTGGTCATGGGCTTTTAGGATGGCTGTGCTGGTGTGGTTCGGAAGGTGGTATGCTGAAGGGACTGGGATCTGAGGACAGCTGGCGTGGAGGGTGGCATACATGGAGCAGCAGTTGGCTGTATTGACCTGTTCTGGCCTTCCATCTGGTTAGGGTAAATGTATCTTAGATGCAACTAACAGATTGTCTCCTTTTCACCTTCCAGGAAACGTCTGGAAGAAGCTCCATTGATGACGAAATCTTTGAGGGACACTCAGATGAAGGAGAAATTGGAGCGTTACCCAAAGGTAAACTTTGTTCCTTCTCCTCTCTGGCTGAGTGTAAATTCGGTAGCTAAATAGCTTCAGGACCTGAACTGTGACCACTGGGACCTTAAGCTCTTACAGGTATTTGTAGGGGAGGTTTCTGAGGCCTAATCTACACTATATAGTTTTCTCAGCAAAAGGCAGCTTTTGCCAACAGAACAGTGGCACCGTGCTCCTTCAGATGACACAACTCCCCTGCTTTGCCCACAAAATAAAACCACCTTGATAAGAGGCACAGACATTTTTGTGGCGAAGGTGGACAAAATGTCACCATTGACACTGTGTTCATTCTGTCACCATACCTGGCCTCTGAGAGGTATTACACAATGCCCACCCTGACCACTGCACTCGCTGTTTTGAACTCCGCTGCCCTGCAGCCAGCTGCCCGGGCAGGCACCCTTCCCTTTCAAAGCCTTAAGACTTTTTGAAACTGCTCATCCGGGAAGTAACTGCTTTTAGCTGCTTCCCAGCTGAGCATGTAGCTCCAAGCAGCAAACTCACGCTTGCCTGGGCAGCTGAGGAGGGAGTGGGTCTCCTGGGTCTGTGAGCAGATGCAGCTGAAGCTGAGAGAGCTCAGAATGAATCACCAAATCAAAACTTAAATGTGGACAACTCCTCTTCTGGGCACGTGTCAGATGGAAATGGGGGGAGGGGGAGACTCGTCCTGTGCAGAGCCAGGAAGTTGTGGGGGGAAGATGTCAGTGTTTGTGTCTCCATAGGCCCCCGCACTCCCGGATGTACTGGTCTTTGCTGAGCTGGGATGAGGGGACAGGAGGGCACTGCCTGTCTATACCCACTAGCTTCTGCCTCAAAATTGGTTGCTTCCAGCTGCTGTCTGAACTTAGAGGCAATATGATGACACACTCACTCCTCCCCATCTCTCTAACACACACACTCCCTCAGGCTGCTGCTTGTGTTCATTTTCAGCAGTGTCCCGTTACCAAGGGATTTCAGGCATATGCTGCAATCACTGCGAGGTTCCTAGCATGGTGCAAACAAAAAGTGACAGGCTCACATATTGCAGCAATACACAATATGGTGACTTACTGTTAAAATGCTTCTTCAAGGTATCCCTGACCTGAATAGCCATATACTGGGTTCCTCCTCTAGCTTTGTGTTCGTAACGCACAGCACAGCACAATACTGAACACAAGGCAGGATCCCTGTTTTCTGACCAAGATGGCTGGAGTGCAGGGTACCAGGGGAGTTGAAGAGCAGCTGGCAATCCAGAAGGATGCCTGTGAACAATGGGATTGAAAAATCTTCATCAGGTGATACTATAACTGACCCCACAAGCCATTAAAAACTATTCATAAAGCATCTTACAGCCAGTTGCACAGTGGGATAGCTACCCACAGTGCACTGCTTTCTGTGTTGATGCAAGAACCACTATTGTGGATATGCTTCACCAACACACAGGCTGCGTCTAGACTGGCAAGTTTTTCCACAAAAGCAGAAAAGCCTTTGCTGAAAAACTTGCCAGCTGTCTACATTGGCCGCTTGAATTTCCGCAAGAACACTGACTTCCTACTGTCTGAAATCAGTGCTTCCTGCCGAAATGCTATGCTGCTCCTGTTCCGGCGAAAGCCTTCTTGCACAAATGGGCCAGTGTAGACAATGCGGTATTGTTTTGCGCAAAAAAGCCCCTATTGCAAAAATGGGAATCGGGGCTTTCTTGCGCAAAACCACATCTAAATTGGCACGGACGCTTTTCTGCAAAAAGTGCTTTTGCGGAAAAGCGTCCGGGCCAATCTAGACGCTCTTTTCTGCAAATGCTTTTAACGGAAAAACTTTTCCGTTAAAAGCATTTGTGGAAAATCATGCCAGTCTAGACGTAGCCACACAGTATAGTGTGGACGTGCAACTGTGGTTTAATTACAGCAGTGGCAACATGTCAGGATAACTTGCGTCGACAACATTCCCTAGTTGAGTCAAGGCCTGAGTGTCTGATGTGGTTTACATCTGTGATGATGTGCATGGGAAATTGGCTTGCCCACAGTGGGTCCATTAAATACAAAGTTACTCAAGATAGTTAAGTCCAAAGCTGACTGCAAAGAGTTACAAAATAGTGTAACTGAGCAACAAAGTGGTGTTTGAAATTTAGTGTGAAGTAATGTGCATTGGAAAACATCCCAGCTGTACATACAAAGCAGTGGGTGGTTCAAGTGCTTGCTCATGTCCATTCTGCATGTGCAGCCTGTTAGAGAGTTTTCCCTAGTGGTACATGTCAGGCCAGCAGGGGAGCCCCCAGAATGCGGCGCACATATACCCCATGTTGGCCCTCCCCCCCCTCAGTTCCTTCTTTCCATCAGTGAGGGTTGTTGGAGTTCTTATCTCGCTTGCTTGCAAGCCAGGTCCCAGCAGTATTGGCAGTTAGCACCTAGTTGAGTCCCATTGTTTCTCCAGTTGCTTTCCCTATTTGTTTTTAAATTGTTGTCATAGTCTAAGTTACTGTTGCTGTTGGGTTGGAGTTCACCCGTTGCACCCCGTCCCGAGGGCATGCCAAGGCCTCACGGCTTTAAGCCCTGCGTGAGCTGAACGAAGCCTGTGCTCAGTGGGGACCCGCACAATTCGTGCCTTAAGTGTCTCGGTGAGGCTCACATCCCAGCAAATGGCAAGATTTGCCGCAGTTTCACTCCCTGGACCCAGCAGGGGAGAGACTCACACTTTAGAATACTCTCAATGGAGTCAGCACTCCGGTGCCGAGTCCGTGACTGGTGCCACTCGGAGTCGTGCAATGCACGAGCATTGGTGTGGAGGTATCAAGTTCCTCCGGGGCCTTGACTGCTTCGAGAAGCCCTTCTGCCCAGCACTGCTCTCGAAGAAGAAGGTGGAGAGGGGGACATGTCCTGACTGGGGGTGCGCCACAGGCAATCCTGATGCACCAATGCCGGCCTCCAGGCCTGCTGCTCCTGGACCTGTGTGTGGCCAGTCGAGCGTGGCCAGGGAGTGGAGCCCAGAGAAGGAGCTGGTGCTTATTGACTGGCTGGCTGTGCCAGACACCTTTGAGGCGGCCCGTAATTAGAGGAGCTGACCTAGAGCCTGCCATCACCCCCTGTGGTGCACCAGGCTTGCCATGCCCTCCCCAAGGCGTTGGCTCCAGATTCGGGCAGATAATCATCGAGGTTGGCACTGGCTGAGTCCCTGACAATGACCTCAGGCCCAGCGGCAAGTGCGGTGCTGCATTTGCCGGGGCACAGCTCAAGGCTGCTCCTGGCTGTGGCTTCAGCACTGACTGCAGCGCTATCCCGGGCATCGAGGGAGAGTTCATCCTCCAGCGCTCCCATCCCAGTGGCACAGCCTCTGGCACCGGAGCGTCTGATGCCCCCACAGCCTATCCAGCACTGGGGCAAACCAGTGGCAATGGTCCACTGCTCCTCCCAGCACTGCCTACAAGGTCCATCTTCGGCACCAGCATGGTAGGAGTCCGAATACTCCTCAGACTCTGATGCGGGGTTGGCATGGTCCTGGGCCTCGGCCTCCTGCTCCAGGTCTGGGCGCCGTTCCACCTCTTGGCACAACGCATGCCATTGTAGTCCCTCGGGCCGCTTGGTGGTAACACCCAGAGAAGTGGCCGCTCTGGACCCCAAGGGCCTACCCCCGGGCATAGGGGAGTGCCCCATCTATCGAGGGCTCCTTGCTCTCAGGGCACCAGGTGCCGCCCTCGGCCATGCCATTGCCCTGATCGTCGGTACTGAGCCAGACGGCATTGACCCAGAGGGACTCCCCTAAGCCCTTATCAGACGGGGCTGGGGAGCAGGGCCTCCCAATCCACACGGCTCCATCTCAGGCCTTGGAGTAGCCTCAGGAGCATGAGGACTGGACTGTGAGAGTACTCGTTTTCCTCCTTGGATGAGGCCTGGCCTGGCCACCCCATTGATGCCAGCAAAGGACTCTCGGACCCACCAGGACCTCCTCAAGAGGCTGGCACAGAGCTTGGAGGCGCAACTCGAGCAGGCATGGGAGGACTCTGATCCCACAGTGAACATTCTGAACTGGAAGGCCCCTTCTCATGTGGCCCAGCCCTTGAATAAGATGGGGCCCACAGATAAGGGGGCGGAGCAGCGGGACTTCGTTCCACAAGCGGAAAATAGTGTCTCTTCTCCCCCACTGCCAGGTTCCGTTGTGGTCCAGGCCACCAAACAGCATGAGCAGGGCTCGAAAAATAATGTAATTGACTCGCCCGTGGCGAGTCAATTACAACCCGGAAGAGCCGGTGCAAAGCGGTCTACTCATGCGCAGAGCGCAGAACCGGGCGGCTGGCGAGCGGGGCTCACCGCTGCTCGGCGAGCCCTGAGCATGAGCATCTGGGCTAACCCATGCCCGTGTCCAAGAATAGGGAGTCTAAGCGTTTGGACCTCTTGGGCCGGAAGGCCTGTGCCTCCTTGGGGGCTCCTCTTCGGGATCGCCAACCAACAGGTGCTCCCGAGCAGGTACGCCTTCAGCTCCAGGGCAGTGGTGGAGAAATTCAGGGAGCTGCTGCCCCAGGACTCCAGCCCTGTCAGAAGAAGGCAAGGTGGTGTCTCAGGCAGCACTCCAGGCTGCTTTGCATGCCGAGGATGCAGCGGCCCAGACCATGGTGACAGGCCTAGTCCTGTCGAGGGTAGCCTGGCTACAGGTTTCTGGTATGCCACCGGAGGTCCAGAACACCATCTGGGACCTGCCAGGCGAGGGGGTGAGCCTGTCCTCGGAGTGCACTGATACCAGCCTCCATGGGCTGATGGATGCTAGAGCATCCTCAAGTCCCTTGGTATTTACGCCCCAGCCCCGCAGAGACGCTCCCTCCCTAGGGCCCCCGCCCATCCACTCCAGCAAGGGAACAGGCTGAACTTCTTGAGGCGCAGGGGCCGTAACAATAACAGGAGGGGCATGTGGCCGTCCCACTCCTCGTCCAGTCGAGGGGCAGGCCCTTTGAACAAGGTCCAGGGCCCCAGGCCGAGCCTTGGAAGCTTCGAGCGAGGACAGCGTACCAGCCACACGTCAGTGGCCTGTCACCAACCGTTATCCCCTTTCCAGCTTGCCTGGCTGCATATCATCATGGACCATTGGGTCCTAGGCATGGTGTGAAGCGGATACTATATCTCATTCTGCTTGCTCCCTCCCTCCTCCTCCCCTACCCTGTCCTTCTTCAGGGACCCTTCTCATGAGCATTTCCTAAGGCTGGGGGCGGTGGAGGAGGTCCTGTTGGACTTCGGGGCGGGGGTCGTTCTCCTGTTATTTCTTGGTCCCGAAGCCTAAGGCTGGCTTTCACCCTATCCTGGACCTAAGGGGCCCCAACACCTTTATAGTGAAGTCGAAGGTCAAGATGGTAACGCTGGCCTCGATCGTTCCATTCCTAGTCACAGGGACTGGTATGCTGCCCTCGACCTCAGACGCCTGTTTCCATATTTCGATTGCACCTCCTCGCAGGCGCTGCCTACAATTCACAGTGGGCCAGGACCATTATTGGTCTTTGGCCCTTCCCTTTGGTCTCTCTACAGTCCCCAGGGTGTTGACAAAATGCATGGCAGTTGTTGCCGCATTCCTGTGAAAAATGAGGGTCCAGGCCACCCTGTATGTGGATGACTCTTCCCAGGTCCTGGAACACGTACCCCTCGTGAGGGAGACCTTTCTCAGGCTGGGTCTCATCTTAAACGAGGCCAAATCCACTCTACCCCCCACCCAGAGACTAGGGTTTGTGGGGGCCTGCCTAGACGTGACTGGCCAGGGGCTCCCTGCCCATAGCCTGCTTTTGGGCAATAAGGGAGGCCATTCTGAGGTTGCAGTCGTTTCCCACCACCATGGCATGGTGCTGTATGAGGCTGTTCATGGTGGCATGCACCTATCTATGTGGTGCGTCTCTCCAGGGTCAAGCTGAGACTGCCCCAGCTTTGGCTGGCATGGGTCCACAACCTGGCTTTCCAGCCAATTGATATGGTGGTGACGGTGCCTGCAGACATACTGTGGTTCCTTGGCAGGTGGCTTTGCGAGCAGGTGGTCTGAGGGGGGATGTCGTTCCACAGTCCTTCCCCGACCATTCAGCTGCGAACGGATGCCTCCGACACAGGTTGGGGAGCCTACCTGGGGAAGCTACATGCTCGAGGTATGAGGTCTCCCACAGACCTCTCCCTCCCCATCGACATTAGGGAGCTGAGGTCTATTCATCTCGCACGTGGTGTTTTCCTCCCACTGCTCCAAAGCAGGTGCGTTTCGCTATTGACGGGCACCACCGCAGCAATGTTTTACGTCAACATTCAGGATGTTGCTCGCGCCTATACCCTTTGCTGGGAAGCCCTTCTCCTCTAGGATTTCTGTGTTACTCACAGCATTCACCCCGTAGTCTGCTACCTCCCTGGGGCCCAGAATGCATTGGTGGATCACCTCAGCAGGTCCTTCGAGGGGCACAAGTGGTCCCCCAGGGCGGATGTGGCTCTGCACATCTTCCGCAAGCGGGGGCTTCCCTGCCTGGACCTGTTTGCAACTTGGGGCAACAGGAAGTGCTACCACTTTGCTCCCTCTTCAGCCACTGCCCAGGGTCACTGGGAGATGTGCTTGTGATCCCCTGTTCAGAGGCCTTTTGTTCACCTTCCCCCGGTTCTTCTGATCTACAGAGTGATCCTCAGGGTCAGGGAGTTCAGGGCTTCCATGATCTTAATAGCCCCAGCATGGCCTCACAAGCCTTGGTTCCTGGCCCTCCTCGAGCTCTCAGTGGAGCAGCCCCTGGTCTTTCCTCTGTCCCCAGACCTGATCTCTCAGGACTCGGGCAGGCTTTGGCACCTCATGGCGTGGAAGCTTGGTTGCTGGCTGCCTTGGAGAGGCCGTCCTCAGACTGAGCACAGGCAGTTCCCTTGGGAAGCCATGAACGCTCTACAAGGACCTCTTACCTGAACCAGTGGAACCGCTTCGTGCCCTGAGAGGGTAGGGGGCTCTCACCTATAGAGGCCCTGGTTCCAGCCTTTTTGGATGACCTCCTAGACCAGGGCTACTCAGCACACGGGCTGCGTGCAGCCTGCGGGTGGTTTGGGTTTACAGGGCTCAACACGTGGCCTGCGGGTGGGATCCTTTGAACATGGCGAGGTGCCACTGTGGCTGTTTTTATGGCCTTTCTTTATTTAAAATGAAGAATCCTCATTTTAAGTGATGCATTTCTGTGTGACCATGTGAGCGTCCCTCTGTTCTCCTCATCCGTTCCCTGCACATCTCTCTGCTGACTCTCGCTCCTGTAGCGTCTTGTTCCAAGTTAAATGGCAAGATCTTTGGGGAGGGGCTGTCACTTTCTGTGTGCATGTGCAGTCCCCATCCTACTTGGAACTCAAGGTGCAACCACAGTACAAGTAAGTGATGTTCTTGTATTGGGTGCGTCTCTCAGGAAGAGAGTAAATCCTGGGTGAGCCTCTTATGCAGTAACCCGGCCTCTACCTGAATGGGGCTCTTACTCTCAGAGAATGAAGGTTTCAGCTGATGCCGCTTTATTTCTGACTAGGTCGTGCTGAGAGTCCAGTTTCCAGACCGTCATGTTCTGCAAGGGTTCTTCCGCCCCACTGAAACTGGTAAGAGCATCCCTGCTTCTGTGCCGCTGATGACACCTAATCTGCAGTGCCACTTACATTTGTGAAGTAGTGTTACACGAGGAGGCCTGGGCATCTCTGCCACTGCTGGGAGAGTGACCTTGCTCTAAAGAAGTCGCAGTATTTAGTTGCACTGTGACATCTCCACCCGCCTGGCAGTATTCTTTGAAACGTGGGTGCAGAACTGATTGGAAACCTCTCAGAGATAGTTCAGTTCCAGTCTATGTTGGAAAGACATATCAAGTGGGGTCCTGCAGTGATAAGTTCTGAGTCTGGTCCTGTTGAATGTCTTTGTCTGTGACTGAGATAATGACCTAGAGCGTACGCTTATGCATTTGTGGAGGATCCCACACTGGGAGGGGTTGCAAGTGCTGTGGCGGATAGGGTTAAAATTCAAAATGAACTGGACAAACTAGAGAAATGGGCTGAAGAAAATAGGATGTGTTCAGAAAGGAAAAAGTACTCACTTGAGGAAGGAATGATCATTTGCACATGTACAGAATTGGAAATTACAGGGATTTGGGGTGCATGGTAGATCACAAGCTCAGAGAGTCAGCAAAAAAAGCAAACACTCTGGGATGTATTAGCAGGATTCAAAATGAACTGGACAAACTAGAGAAATGGGCTGAAGAAAATAGGATGTGTTCAGAAAGGAAAAAGTACTCACTTGAGGAAGGAATGATCATTTGCACATGTACAGAATTGGAAATTACAGGGATTTGGGGTGCATGGTAGATCACAAGCTCAGAGAGTCAGCAAAAAAAGCAAACACTCTGGGATGTATTAGCAGGAAT